ACTCATGTGTTAGTTGGTTGGTTTTACAGCCACCTCCACACTCATGTGTTAGTTGGATTTGGTTTATATCCACAATCTCGTCTGTTAGTTGGTTGGTTTTATAGCCACACTCCACACTCATGTGTTAGTTGGTTGGTTTTACAGCCACACTCCACACTCATGTGTTAGTTGGTTGGTTTTATAGCCACACTCCACACTCATGTGTTAGTTGGTTGGTTTTATAGCCACACTCCACACTCATGTGTTAGTTGGTTGGTTTTATAGCCACACTCCACACTCATGTGTTAGTTGGTTGGTTTTATAGCCACACTCCACACTCATGTGTTAGTTGGTTGGTTTTATAGCCACACTCCACACTCATGTGTTAGTTGGTTGGTTTTATAGCCACCTCCACACTCATGTGTTAGCCAGTTGATTTTATAGCCACACTCCACACTCATGTGTTAGTTGGTTGGTTTTATAGCCACCCTCCACACTCATGTGTTAGCCAGTTGATTTTATAGCCACACTCCACACTCATGTGTTAGTTGGTTGGTTTTATAGCCACACTCCACACTCGTGTGTTAGCCAGTTGATTTTATAGCCACACTCCACACTCATGTGTTAGTTAGTTGGTTTTATAGCCACACTCCACACTCATGTGTTAGTTGGTTGGTTTTATAGCCACACTCCACACTCATGTGTTAGTTGGTTGGTTTTATAGCCACACTCCACACTCATGTGTTAGCTGATTGGTTTTATAGCCACACTCCACACTCATGTGTTAGTTGGTTGGTTTTATAGCCACACTCCACACTCATGTGTTAGTTGGTTGGTTTTATAGCCACACTCCACACTCATGTGTTAGTTGGTTGGTTTTATAGCCACACTCCACACTCATGTGTTAGTTGGTTGGTTTTATAGCCACACTCCACACTCATGTGTTAGTTGGTTGGTTTTATAGCCACACTCCACACTCATGTGTTAGTTGGTTGGTTTTATAGCCACACTCCACACTCATGTGTTAGTTGGTTGGTTTATAGCCACCTCCACACTCATGTGTTAGTTGGTTGGTTTTATAGCCACACTCCACACTCATGTGTTAGTTGGTTGGTTTTATAGCCACCTCCACACTCATGTGTTAGCTGGTTGGTTTATAGCCACACTCCACACTCATGTGTTAGTTGGTTGGTTTTATAGCCACACTCCACAATCTCGTGTGTCAGTTGGTTGGTTTTATAGCCACACTCCACACTCATGTGTTAGTTGGTTGGTTTTACAGCCACACTCCACACTCATGTGTTAGTTGGTTGGTTTTATATCCACACTCATGTGTTAGTTGGTTGGTTTTATAGCCACACTCCACACTCATGTGTTAGTTGGTTGGTTTTATAGCCACACTCCACACTCATGTGTTAGCCAGTTGGTTTTCATATTCATGTGACTGCTGGAGAAGGATATTCAACACTAGGTAGTGTGTTAATTATCATGGGAAAGCTTTTTCATCAGGGAGTGCATTTTATAATCTTAATTAAGGGGTTCATCAGTAAGGCCAAGTACACCAAGATGACCACCATCTGAGAGACCACAAGCCCAAGATATTTGGGGAAAGAAACAATGAATATGGAAGGTGACACTGAAGATCCCCCTCAAGGTTCACAATGCCATGAAGATTTTAAAAGAGACTGTCTTGTAAAGTATGTGGGAGATCACCCATCAGAGACACTTTTTAACACAGGAGAGAAGTTCCAGTGTTTAGAATGTTCTAGATCATTTACTAAAAAATCTGGTTTAGTACAACATATGAGGGTTCACACAGGAGAGAAGTTCCAGTGTTCAGAATGTTCTAGATCATTTACTAAAAAATCTGGTTTAGAACAACATATGAGGGTTCACACAGGAGAGAAGTTCCAGTGTTCAGAATGTTCTAGATCATTTACTAAAAAATCTAGTTTAGTACAACATATGAGGGTTCACACAGGAGAGAAGTTCCAGTGTTCAGAATGTACTAGTTCATTTACTTATAAATCTAAATTAGTTGAACATATGAGGGTTCACACAGGAGAGATGTTCCAGTGTTCAGAATGTACTAGTTCATTTACTAATAAATCTAAATTAGTTGAACATATGAGGGTTCACACAGGAGAGATGTTCCAGTGTTCAGAATGTACTAGTTCATTTACTAAAAAATCTAGTTTAGTACAACATATGAGGGTTCACACAGGAGAGATGTTCCAGTGTTCAGAATGTACTAGTTCATTTACTAATAAATCTAAATTAGTTGAACATATGAGGGTTCACACAGAAGGGAAGTTCCAGTGTTCAGAATGTACTAGTTCATTTACTTATAAAGGTAATTTAGTACAACATATGAGGGCTCACACAGGAGAGAAGTTCCAGTGTTCAGAATGTACTAGTTCATATACTTATAAATCTAAATTAGTTGAACATATGAGGGTTCACACAGGAGAGAAGTTCCAGTGTTCAGTATGTACTCGTTCATTTACTTATAAATATAGTTTGCTTCAACATATGAGGGTTCACACAGGAGAGATGTTCCAGTGTTCAGAATGTACTAGTTCATTTACTAATAAATCTAAATTAGTTGAACATATGAGGGTTCACACAGGAGAGAAGTTCCAGTGTTCAGAATGTGCTAGTTCATTTACTTATAAATCTAGTTTAGTACAACATATGAGGGTTCACACAGAAGGGAAGTTCCAGTGTTCAGAATGTACTAGTTCATTTACTTATAAATCTAGTTTACTTCAACATATGAGGCTTCACACAGAAGAGAAGTTCCAATGTCCAAAATGTACTAGTTCATTTACTTATAAATCTAGTTTACTTCAACATATGAGGGTTCACACAGGAGAGATGTTACAGTGTTCAGAATGTACTTGTTCATTTACTTATAAATCTAATTTAGTACAACATATGAGGGTTCACACAGAAGGGAAGTTCCAGTGTTCAAAATGTACTAGTTCATTTACTTATAAATCTCAATTAGTTGAACATATGAGGGTTCACACAGGAGAGATGTTCCAGTGTTCAGAATGTACGAGTTCATTTACTAATAAATCTAAATTAGTTGAACATATGAGGGTTCACACAGGAGAGAAGTTCCAGTGTTCAGAATGTGCTCGTTCATTTACTTATAAAGGTAATTTAGTACAACATATGAGGGCTCACACAGGAGAGATGTTCCAGTGTTCAGAATGTACTAGTTCATTTACTTATAAATATAAATTAGTTAAACATATGAGGGTTCACACAGGAGACACACCATATCATAGTACAAAATGCAATAAATCCTTCACACAGAAGTGCCGTATGGTAAGGCACATAAGAGTTCATACAAGAGAAAAATTTCAGTGTTGTGATTGTCAAAAATGTTTTCCCAGTAGAGTGAGTCTCACAAGGCATAGTAGAACTCATCTGACTTCTTACAGTAAAGTTCATGCAAAAGATAATAAATGCCACAAAAAATATGATAATAAACAAAGGCTGAAAAAATGTGGTGAGGAGAAGTCAGGGAGTGGTAGGAGACTTACCCAGAGGAACCACCACCTTGGTGGTCTCGGGAGCAACACAACAGAAAAACGAGTGGGCAATGACCTGAACAGTCCAGAGCCGAGCCACAATAATTGTCGGGAACTGCCCACTTCCTCTCATAGTGAAGATGAGTATAGCCTCTCTTACCAGTGTAAGACAAAGGCTGTGTGTAAACTAGCAGATAATGACCTTGTAGTGAGTAGATCAACACATTTCATAGACTGGTCAGGTCATGGAGTTAAAGATGAACCTGTTGATGGTCAACCTTCAATCTTAAGTATATCAGAAGATCCACTTCAATCTGAGATGGTTCCTCCATCTTCTATAAAGTTAGAGAGCCTTAAGGAGGAATTTGAGTTTCTTGAGGAAGAATTGTGAAACCTTATTAACATTTTGTGTGTAATGCAAGCTTGTGTATGTTTATATTAATAAATATATACTGAGAACCCAACTGTTTATCCTCACAATGTATATAATAAAAGCAGTGGGCAGCAACTTAATAAACAATTCCACTGTAGATCTCATACCTTTATGTACAGCCAGATTACTTTTACCCCTTCGGTGTTGAACTAAAATGGTTTAGTTTACCGTAAATTGAAGAATAAAGATAAACAAGTGATAACATATCCTGAGAACATTGTGGACTTGTTGAAATATTAATTTAAGAAACTTGTATTTCAGTGCATATCATTGTTTTCTAATTTTGACTGTCGGTCACATTATTAAACAACAAATATAAGATAATTGGTGGAAGTCTAAAGATATACCGTATATCTTGGCTTATAAGATGGAATTTGAACATTAAAAAAATCTGCCCAAAGTTAGGGGGTCGTCTAAACCACCAAGTATAAAATTCTTACCTCTTAAATACAGTTGTACCCCACTTAACACGGTCAATTGAACCCAGAGGGTCCCGCGTTAAGTGAATAACAGAACATATGGGATTAATTCCAATAGAACCCAGCCCGACCCCCAAACTCCACTTTTTGACGACAAATAACTATGTTGTAGTAAAAATAACATCTTAATTTTATGATGGTACATGCACACAATTAATACTTAAGAGAAATAGAGAAATACAGTCGCCAAGTTAATGTCCATTCAAATAATGGACTCAACTCCCTCCCCCTCTTCTCACACTACACTCACTGGCTCTTCCCTCTGAGAAATTTTTGGGGGAAAACCAGGTATAGTAATAAATAATTCCTCAAACTAAAGTTAGGATAATATAATTGACATTGCTGGATTCCTTGTAAGACCAGGAATATTTTGAATATAAATGTCATATATTTTTCACAAAAGATAACATATTTACTCAGAATAAACTTTACATCTAAAATTTGTATGTCTAATGCAAAATCTATGATGTTTATATTCAAAATGATCAGCAAATTGTAAGAATTCCAGCAATGTAAATTATATTCTGGCCGGATAATTTGTATGAATTTTATGAGCTAAAACAAATATCTTCAGTTAATAAAAAAAAAAAAATATTCTTCGACACTATCTGTCAATCAAAGTACCCCACCTTGCCTTCCCCCCCTCTTCCAACCGCGTGGTCAGTCCCAACCCTCCCCCCACCCCCCACCAATCCTCCATTCAAGAGTTTTTAACATTTAGTATTAAATAATACCTCAGATTAAAGTTAGGATAATATAATTGACATTGCTGGATTCCTTGTAAGACCAGGAATATTTTGAATATAAATGTCATATATTTTGGACAAAAGATAACATAATTACCTAGAGAACAATTTTTATCTAAAAATTGTATGTTTAATGCAAAATATATGTTGTTTATATTCAAAATGATCACCAAATTATAAGAATTCCAGCAATGTAAATTATATTCTGACCGGGTAATTTGTATGAATTTTATGAGCTAAAACAAATATCTTCAGTTAATAAAAAAAATAATAATTCTTCACGGGGTAACAGATGGTCGGTCGGTCCCTCCCTCCCCCCACCCCCCACCCCAAGGAGATGTGTGGGATAACCACTAAATTTTAATAAATAATACCTCAAACTAAAGTTAGGATAATATAATTGACATTGCTGGATTCCTTGTAAGACCAGGAATATTTTGAATATAAATGTCATATATTTTGGACAAAAGATAACATAATTACCTAGAGAACAATTTTTATCTAAAAATTGTATGTTTAATGCAAAATATATGTTGTTTATATTCAAAATGATCACCAAATTATAAGAATTCCAGCAATGTAAATTATATTCTGGCTGGGTAATTTGTATGAATTTTATGAGCTAAAACAGGCAGGGTGGCGGGTGGGGGGTGGTGCGAATCTAAAAATAGCTCTCGAGCCGGACACTCACCGCGTATATGATGAAAAATGCCGCGTTAAGTGAAAGTTCAGCTTTGGCAAGGCACCGCGTATATGCGAAAACGCGTTAAGTTAAAGCGCGTTAAGCGGGGTAATACTGTATTGTGGTTTAGCGTGTCAAGAGTGGTGATGGAAACATTGTAAGCCACTCGCAAGGTCTTACCACTAATTATTTTATACTGAAACTTACGTTTGGCAAGCTGGATTCAAATTAAGATTACCGGTATATTAAAATAATAAAAATGTATTATAAACCTGTCTATCATACCGTAAAAGAGAATTATACCCCTGTAATAAACACAGCTATCATCACACACCCCTCCCCACACCCCCCCCCCATTTGCCAGTGAGGAGACAAGGAATATTCAGTAAATGACTGCATTAATTCTTGAAACTACTGACAGTTAAATACAGACGCTTAAGTGACGTCACTAGTGTTTACACTACACCAGCTGGTAACATTTGATGCCATTACTTGAAGTGAATTGGCCTTATTTAAAGTAACTAACCATAAATAAATACAAAAGGTAAAAAAAAGATCAAAAGTGAGATATAATATACAGGTTGTACCTCTCTAGTCCGGCATTCTGTGGTCCGGAACGATTTTAGTTTGTCCAATAGGTAGATAGGCAGATTTTTTATTTTTTTTATTTTTTTTGCTTCTCTGAATTATTATTATTATTACAGGAGTATTAAATTTTTGCCCCTCAGGCCCCAATGCGGGCCAGTGACCTATGCCCGGGTGGGCTAATCCCCTTAAAAAAAAAAAAAGCCCCGGGAAATTAAGTTTTGTTTACATACGGCAGTTCGGCTGCACTCAATCTCTCTCTCTGCTTGCCTATCCCAGCCGTTACCAACGCCTCTTCCCTCCCAGACCAGATATCCCTCCTCCTAGTCACAGGCCTGGCATTTGACATTATTAGGGACCTGCCACTCTTTGCCATAAACAGATAAAATGTACCGGGAACTTTCCCCCCACACACTCATCATTCTCTCACTTTATGTAACTTGACAGAACCTATGACCCTTCAGGCTTTTACGCCCTTAATGTACGAGTCATAAAGGCAAGTATGAACTTTTCATACTTCCCTGTTGGGCGCTGTAGAGGCTTCTGCGCTTCACCTTGCACAGGATGTAAGGGGGTGCCCAATAAACTAGCCCCCTCTGGGGCAAATCTGAATCTGCTTGTCTATACAGAGTACAACATTTAACCCTTCAATATATATGAGCAGTAAATAAGTGTTGCTTTCTTATTTTTATGTCGAGTAATGACGATATATTTTCACAGGTGCGCACTTACATACGAGCAGTCTCACTTCTTTTTTACCATTAATGGTTAGCTACTTATATTGTTCCATTTATTAACATTAAATAACATTACAGGTACTTTAAGCAACCATATTCATTTTTTACATTAATTTTACTACAGCTACAATCAGGGTCTTGTTTTCTTCAGTTTTATATGTAGAACCAATCAGTCACTGGTTTCGTAAGCTTTAACATAAACAATGCCGGCAGCCGTCTCGTCTCCTCTAATATTCCACGTATTATTAATAAATTGTATTGTTAATTTTGCACACACGTACATTAATTCAATAAAAACAAATTCAGAAACATTAATTAAAATATATATGATCAGTAAATTAGTGTTGCTTTCATATTCTTATGTAAAGTAATGACGATATGTTTTCACGTGTGTGCATGCGCACTTACATATGCGATCTCTCTTTTCTTTGCCATTATCGTTAGCTACTTCTATTGTTCCATTTATTAACATTAAATAATATTACTTAAAACAACCATATTAATTTTACTACAGCTACAACCAAGGTTTTATTTTCTTCAGTTTTATATGGAGAACCAGTCAGTCACTGGTTTTGTAATCAACAAAAACAATGCTGTGTCATTTCCTCGTGTGTTTTAATATTCTACGTATTATTAATGAATTGTATTGCTCATTTTGCACACAAACATTAATTCAATAAAAAAAGACATTCAGTAATAAACAATAATGTATCTTTTGTACATAAGAGAAATGACCCTGTTTACACGATTATGCACGTCGTCTGCATGTTGGCGGGCCGTTCAAACCCGTCGAATTTCAAATTTCCGCCGTCAAAATTTTAATTTATTTTTTTTTTTTTTGTGTTCCAATAAAATACGTTAAGAATTAAGAACTCGCGGAATTTGAGAAGCTACTATACGACATTTAACCCTTCAATATGTCTTCAAAAAGACCATGACGCAGAGAAAGTGGTGCTAGTGCTTCCAGGCATAAGCACAAGTCACTATCTATCCAGGAAAAGGGTGAATTTCCATGGTCCGGCACCGGTCACGTCCCGAGGTTGCCGGACTAGAGAGGTACAACCTGTACTGTATGTATGTTGTGTTGTCAAAGTTAGAGGAACAATTCAAACTGCAATTGTGTGTAAATGAGGCAGAAAGTCAGGTCAGTGCTGAACCTGGGACTTGGTCACAATTTTCGTGATGCCATATGGCAGCAGGGTCTACCATTAGACAACACATTATGCTTCCAATATCTTCCCAGGCGGTAGTATCTACCTGTTTGGTAGCTGCCTACTACCTACACAATTTTTAGTAATATTACTTTGATACATGATAAATTAGACAATGAAAGTAAACATCAAATTTAATTACCAAGACGCTTCCCATTGGCAGCTGTAAGAAGAGGGGGAGATGGGCTATTTTTATCCTGTCTTTGTGTCTGAAGTGGCCAGTAATACCATATATTTACTGATCATAATATTTACGGTATCTCCTATGAATAATTAATTTAAAATTTATTTTTTACATAGAATATTCAGTAAATGACTTTTAAATAAATAAACAAATAATCCAGTAAATCTATTTCAAGTAAATGGAAAATAAGCAAACAAGTGTTATTTACCACCACCCCTTCCCTCTGGCTCAGGGTGAGATGGAGGGGAGATAAAGAAGGCTATTTATAGCCCGTCTTTGTGTCTGAAGTGACCAGTACCCTAATGCACCATAAATAATTCATTTAACATTTATTTTTTGTACATATATTTTGTTGTATATATATATATATATATATATATATATATATATATATATATATAT